GCTTGTAAGACGTTGAGGGTCCCACATTATCTAGACAATCGGCTCAAAGATGGCGGTAAGGTTGTCAGCCTTACGCGTCGGCCGCGCTTTACTCCCCAGGAAAATTAGTTAATTAATTACTGGTACTCATTTCTGTTAGAGGCTGAGTCGACCCCATGGCCATAGTGCGGTTGGAAGGATTAGGTCAACTGAAAAAAATCGAATGACCTCATCGGGTCTTGAACCCGCGACCTTCCGCTTTGTAGGATAGCCCCTCAACCAACTATGCTACCGCGTGCCCCCTAGGCACGGTCTGTGTGTTAGGTCAAAATTGCGCCTATATATGAGGAAAACTGGATGAATCAATAGAGTACAATCCTCCTTTAGAAGAAAATATTTCCTCAAAGCATTTCATATACTTTATGGAACTGTTGCCGTATTCACACGAGCTCACTGGTCCCTGAGCCAAATGAATCCAGTCCGTGTCAGGACACTCAAAGCTGTTTACGATATACGCGTAGGCTTCTTAGCGGCCTCTTCCCTTCGGATTTCAAAAAGTTTGTATACATTTTAATTTTCCTTCTCAACACTATCTGCACCACCCCCACCAGAATCCTTAATATGACCACCCTAGCATTATTTGCTGAAGAGTACAAACATCTAGCGCATTACGTAACTTTTCCCAGACTGACGTTACTTCCTCAAAATAGTAAATATTTTGTGTACTTGTTAGTACTAGATTGGAGGTTCTGGTTTCTCAGGCGAGATACCGATTGCTTTGAGTGGGGCTTTTCATTGCATTCCTGCAAGCCTTTCAGAAAAATGCTGGGGCAGTATGTTAACTTCCGCCACGAAGTCATTCCACATCGCTGTGTCATTCAGCGCAAAATGTTATATGCATGTGATACAACGTTACTAAAAAAATCCGTGGCTTTAGTCTGCAAGCAAACTATACCGACCGAGCGGCCGCCGCTTGCCGGCGAAGTTGGTGCCAACTTTAGCGGATAGAGAGTGTCGCGTAGTCAGCGCAACGAATCTCCACGGTCGTTAATGTCGGTTTTCTAGACCGGAGCCGCTACTTTTCCATTCAAGTAGCTCCTCAATTATCCTCACGAGGCTGAGTGCACCCCGTTCCAGACCCACCACTTCACGGAATATCTGATAGCGCCGTGAACTGAACCCGGGAGCTCGGGATCTGTAGCCAGGAACTCTGATCACTAGACCACAGAGCCCAACGTTACTGAGTCAGAAATCAATAATACGGATGATAAATATGTACATGACGGTATGCTGGACGAAAGAGATTTTAAGTTTTCAGAGGACTGATATTATGGGTTTCACTGACATATGATTCCCGCAAATTTCATTCGTGTACCACCATACGAAAGAACACGGTTCGGTGTAGTATACTGTGTGTTTATTTCTCTTCCCTTACAAGCCACGCCCAAGGAATTTTCAAGTTATTTCCTGGTCATGTACCTCAGCACTTATTTGGGAAAGGAAGAACTGTAAGATTATTGGTTGATGGTAACAAATATGTAAAAATGTGTACAGTTGTTTACAGTAACACTTGTATCGTGCAACACATTATCGATGCGTGGAATTCTTTCGTGACGTAAAAATTTTTGCGACCCATAATCGTGACGTCATATTCACATTTAAAAAACGCGAAATTGACATCTTATAAACATGAACGAAACTCATAATTGCAAAACTGTTTAATTTATATATTCACTTCGCCGGGATAGCGCAGTCAGTATAGCGAACGGCTACGGGCTGCAACACCGAGGGATCGAAGTTCGAGTCCTGGTAGGGTCAAGAATTGTCTCCTCACGTCGTCCAGACCGGCTGTGGGGTCCACCAAACCTCCTATCCAATGGGTACCGGGGGCTCTTTCCCCGGAGGTAAAGCGGCAGGGACGTGAAGCTGACCACTCACCTCCAGCTAATGCCAAGATCAAGAAAATGTGGATCTATACATTCAATTCCCCATACGCCTTCATGGCGTAGTACTTAATTAGTTAAGCACGGGGACAACTTTACCTTTCACCTTTATTCATTTCTGTGCACATCGTTTTATTTTCAGGAGTCTGATACCGTTAAAAGTAAATAACATGATAACGAGCCAATTATTTATTGTCTACCAAATTTCAGCGATACTGTGTGTGTCTACTCACAGTCAGTTATACATGCCACTGTTCAACGAAGCAGGAATTAAATGTTATGCACATGTCTAAACATTGTCTAACTACATGGAGTTGATTCCTTCTTGAGAAGCGAATAGTCGCTCAGCCACTCCAGAAATTCCCAGAATTTGTCGAACACTAAATTTTAGTACCCTGTTCATAAGAGCTTGGCACTGGCCTGTATCCTGAGAAACATGAATCCAGTCTATATATTTCATTCAATTTATGATCAATTTTAATATTATCCTCCTATATATGTATACGTTTTCTATTTCCTTCAGGTTTCTCCACCAAAACCCTGCATGCACGCCTATTCTTCCCCATGCGCGGTACGTGCTCTGCCCATCTCGTCCTCCTTGACTTGATCATTCTGATACCATTTGGTGAGGAGTTCAAGTTATGAAGCTCCTCAGAGCTACATCAAAACGATGCTAATAGATCTTTAATATTCAATACGACCGATTTACATAGGTCAATGGAGCCAATGCCGTTAGAATGATCAACGTCCGAAAATAATTTAATAATTGTTGTGAGACGTTACTGGCTGTGGTCTAGACGCCAAAGGTTTGAAAAGAGCGTGAGAGTACTTTCCACCCCATCACATATTGTTCTATCCTATACGCATCGGATAATTTTGCTAAGGGATGAAGTTTATCTGAGCGTGAAACTGATAATCACTTCCATCTAGTTCCAAAGTTTAAGTGTGTGAAACTTCACCTTCTTGCCCCTACTGAGTACGCTTTCGCGGTCGGCGAAATGGATTAGGTGCAAAGAACAGTCTACTTAATATTCCCTGAAGGTCTTAAGTGTAACGTTTCTATGTTATACTTTGTACTTATTGCTTTGCATTACAATTGGGCAATCTTGAGATTTATATTTTCTTGAAGGTGCAGAAGGAACCGCAAAGTCAATAATATTTTAAGAATGCCGTCTTCTGGGATGTGGCCTCGTGTAGATATTGTGTAAACCGACGTTTCGAAGGAAAGTATCGCTCCCATCTTAAGGGTACAAAAAATCATACTCACGCTGGTTCCTCGCGGATTATTGTACCCTGAAGATTGAGGCGATACGTTCCTCCGAAACATCGGCTTACACAATATATACACGGTGCCACATCCCAGACCACGGCATTCTTCATAGTCCTCGCCGTGAAAACCTCAAATCTTACATCAATGATATTTGTTTTCTAAAGATTTCTGACGATGGTGTATAATACTCAGAATTGCTGGATTCTTTTACTTTGTCCATCGTTCGGTATCCCAGAAACTAAAAAAACACAATGCGATCGAGGTTAGTTCTTTCTAAGCGGCCTCCGTAGTCTAGAGGTAACGTTCCCACCTCATGACTCGTAGTACGCGGGTTCAAATACCCGGCGGAGGTCATGGAATTTTTAAGGGCGGAAAAATTCAGGGAACAAGTCCTCCGGGAGGGACTTTAAGCCGTGGGTCCCGTGTTGTAGCTTTACGGCACGTAAAAGAACCTCATATCTCCAAAGGAGGTCACTGAGCCAAATTAAGGGACGTTTCCCGCCAAACAGCAGTCTCTAATACCTCTGGTAGATGGGGGAAGCATTATAGATACCTCTCAGCTAGTAGAGCCGGTCTCGCTGGCTGGGCGGGACTGATGGTAAGAACCAGTAC